GTCCCTCGGCGCCGCCTGGCGTCCGATCGCGGAACTGCGGCCCGGAGCTCCCCCCAGGTCAGACGACCCAGGGTTTCTGTGTCCAGGGTACCGGCTGGAACCCCCAGGAGCCATTGTCCTAGGAAACAACGTCCCCCCGTAAGGGAGAGGTGGCTTCAGTTCCAATCAGGGGAAGAAGGTGAAAGTGCACCCCCCCCCTACAGTTGGAAGACTTCGGCCTCAAGCGCCATGCGTTCCCAAGTTGAGAATAGGACTTAAAGTTGATAGGCAACAGTTCCCCCTGCCCCCCCACCCTCCACCTCCGGCGATGCCCACTTCTCAGCAGGGGTGCCTAATTAAGCAAAATCTCAGGCATAGTAAGAATTGGGTAGGGAACCTTCCAGAACCCTGTGTGCCTGGGTTGGAGACTGCCCATGTCAAGGGTGCTTTTGTTTGTTTGTTTACAGATTCACACTCTATCCAAAGCAAGTTGGAAATCAACAGAACCCCAACTTCCAGTTTATGAACCTCAATCTCTTCCTGGGTATCCCCTGCGCAGAGCGGTAGTGAGGAACCAATAGGGTGGATGAGGGAAATGCACCATATGCAGATGTCCTTGCATAAATTGGCATATTCCAGGGTCACGGGCTAATGCTAAAGCTTAATAAATGTGGGGTTAAATAGACGTGGAGAGGAGAGATGGAGGCAGTAACTAGTTTCTGGTGAGAGGTTTTTTTTCGGGGGGGGAGGTAGATCTCTGAGTAGCAGGTGGAGAGGTGTGCACGGTGGGAGATGGATACCATGAGGGGGAAATATCGAAGACCCCAAGTCTGAGATTGGGTGGTTGCACACAGGATTGGGATTAAACAGAAGTGGCTTGGGGAGTGGAGAGAAATCAGGCTGGAGGAGCTTTCTGCATAGAGATATGTAATCAGAGAATATGGAGAGGCAAAGAGAACAAGAATATTGGCCTGTGTGTGTGTGTGTGTGTGTGTGTGTGTGTGTGTGCGTGAGCATGTGTGAATGTGAGTTGTGTGTGTGTGAGAGAATGTGTGTTGGAAGGAATTAACAAAGCATCTGTTGGCCCAATATCTCAGGAGATGAAGACCCATTTCACCTCCCTGGCTCACAGAAGGAATGGAGAGGAAAGCCCCCCAATGCCAAGGGAAAGGAAAAGGACCAGGGGAAAGGAAAAGGACCAGGGGAAAGGAAAAGGACCAGGGGAAAGGAAAAGGACCAGGGGATGATGGCAGAAAGAAAGGGCAAGTCTGCAGGTATCTGCCTAGAAATGTTGCAGGGAGGCCAGGCCAGAGGTGCCCAAGCAGCAGATGAGTGAGATGCAAGCCTCGTTGGGTGGGTGACCAGCTGGTGTTTGTACATCAGTTTTTACCTTGGGAGTCACCATCAGGGAGATGAATTTACCAAACACACCGGATTTTCTCATCACCCTTCCGTCAGAACCCACCCGGTAGATAGATTGGAATTACTTGTCTTATTGCTATAAAAACATTAAAAAAAAAAGCTGTCCTAGCTACTCAGGAAGCTGAGATCTGAGGATCCCAGTTCAAAGCCAGCCTGGGCAGGAAAGTCTGTGAGACTCTTATCTCCAATAAACCACCACAAAACCAGAACTGGTGGTAGAGCACTCACTTGGAGCTGAAGAGCTGAGGGACAGTGCCTGGGCCCAGAGTTCAAGCCCAATGGCTGACAAAAAAAAAGGAAGAAAGAAGGAAAGAAAGAAAGGAGGAATAAAAGGAAGAAAAAGAAAGGAAGGAAGGAAGGAAGGAAGGAAGGAAAGGAGGAAAGAAAAGAAAAAGAAAAAAAAGCTGTCAAAGGTTTCCTGGCAAATCACGCCATTCAGATCATTTCCGAACTGAACTGCCCTTTGTTGGAGAAGAAGATGGGAGGAGAGGATGGAAGGCTTTTCCTTCTTCACTCCCAGCCTGCAACTGGGGCTGACTGCAGAGTGGGCTACTTGGATGGTGATGTTCCCCACGGCACCTCTGAGATGCTCGGAACTGTGGTGGTCATCGAACCTGGAAGTAACCTCAGCTCTGTCATTTCCTTGTGCTGGGGAGGAAAGCTGTGGAGCAAACTTAGGTTGCTGTGGAACATCAAGTAGATAGAAGGGAGCAGCATGATGATCCTACAGTACTGGCCATGGATTGAATTACTCTTATTGTTGAAGATGAGTAGGGGAAGGGAAATGTCTTTGTACTGCACTAGTGGATGTATCGTTCATCTCTTCTAAAACACACTAGCTCTTGGCATATGCAAATTTCTATTCTTATGCATTTAGTTAGTTTAGGATTTTTGGGTTTTTGTGTGTTTTATTTTTTGGTGGTGCTGGTCCTGGGACTTGAACTTTGGGCTCTTTACCACTTGAGCCACTGTTCCACGTCTGGCTTTTTAAGTGGCTGATTGTAGATAAGGGCCTCGTGCATTTTCCTGCCCAGTCTGACTTTGAAGAGAGATACTCAGATCGCAGCCTCCAGAGTAGTTAGGATTATAGGCATGAGGCACTGATGCCTGGCTCAGATTTATATGAGTACTTTACATCATGTATAGAAAATATAAAGATTAAGGTTCAGGAGTATGCAGTACTATCTGTGTTCACAAAGCCTCAAATGCCCAAATCAGTGCTTTGTAGGATCATGTATGTCAGAAATAATTTGGGAAGCTCTAATGATTGTGAGAAATCACCTCTGTAAAGGAGTAAGCTATGCAGGTTGACCTTTAAAGCCTGTGAGAGAGTGGGTGTGGGGTGTTGGGTGGTGTTTGTACGATTGTGTACTTCTCCAAGGAATCTTTGTTCTCCGAGGAATCTTAGTTCCATGGTACCTTGATGCTCAAAGAGTAGAAGGGAAAGCAAACAAACTCCAACCTCTTTGGCCTTTCTGGAAGGGCCAGATGCTGGGAGGGAAATACTTTTGACAAGAAATCAAGAGTGGCAGAGAAGTCCCACGTCTGAATGGCTGTCTTGTACATTTCAGCTTTCTGACAAGTGGAAACGGTGTCAGCCACATCTGGGATACTCAGCAAGAAACACATGGACAGTGACAGGTTCTCCTGCTGAATGAGAAGTTTGACATTTTAAGGATCTACTGGCACTGATTTATTTGTCAGAAAAGCGAGTCTGGGAATTGTTTAATCATACACGTGGGTATATGTATATGTTTAACACTGGAAAAGGTATACATCGTTGTTTCCTTAAAAAGAACAAGAACCCAAAAGGTGAAAGATGGAACAGATTTGATTCAAACCTTCCAAAAATAAACAAGTAAAGAGTACCAGAGGGAGGAAAAATGATCTTGGAGTTGTAGCCATTGCAAAGTACTTAAAAATAGACATTTTTGTAACAGTTAACTGGTTAGTGCAAACTCTGTAATCAAATATGTTCTTACCGGAATGATCAGCTATTATTTCTGATAATGTTTAATTTGATTTCTTGATGTGATGAAATGGGATCCTATCTGCAAATCTAGAGGTCTGAGGGTTCTGACATGATTATTTCATTAATACAACCACACTTTCAACATGTGAACAAAAACACTTCCCAAATGAGTCACTGAGAAAGCAATGCATTCTCTTTATTTCAACCACCAAAAAGCTGAAAGTGGATCTGTAACTCACATGGTATGGTGCTAATGTAGAGCAGAAAAGCTCTGGGGTAGCACCTACGGCCTGGGTTCAAGCCTAAAGTTTGGCACAAAATGAAATAAAAGCACCAGAAATGTGAAGGTTTCCAATCTTTTCTTGTAAGTGTTAATGATTGCAGATTTTACTTTTGCTTCACATTTCCTTTTACCTTTCCTCAATAGTAAAAAACAAAACAAAACAAAAACAAAAACACTAGTTTAGTCAGAACTAGTTACAACCTAGCAGGGGGGAAAACAAATTTTAAATCTGTCAAGGGCCTCTGCTGACATAGCCTTTACAGAGGTTGGGGGGGGGGGATTTCCTCTAAGTCACATCATTTTTTTTTCTCTTTTTCATGATTTTTGTTTGTAATTCTCTTTTATGATTTTCCTTCATGATTTTATTAGCCACTTTTAAGTTACAAGTGCTGGAGCGATGGCCCCACACTGGCAAAAATCCAAACACAGCCAACAGTTGGTTTCACTGACGGAAAATTCCCACTAGTCAAAACCACACTCTTGACTCGAGCTCTTTTTACAAGAAGCCTTGGAAAACACAGTCCTGCTTGGAACACAAATACAAATTAATAAAGCAATGCTTCCTGTAAAGGAAAGGCAGCTGAAGAAAGCGATATTCTTCCTATGCATTGATATTTAAGAATCTGTTTTACTGAGAGCACAACACCCAGTCAAAGCGATGATCAGGATCGTGAACACTTTATAGGTTTGAATGAAATCCCTTTCACTGCAGAACTCTGAAAAGTCTATGTGGGTCTGATGCACGTGTGGAAGGATATCTTACTATTTATTGGCCCAAAAGACTAAAGGGAACTTGTGTGTGTGTGTGTGTGTGTGTGTGTGTGTGTGTGTAAGACTCATAGCATCTGAGTCATAAGTTTGGTATCTATAACTCATGTTGGAGTCCCGTACAAAACAGAAATGGAAGGATCTAGCCAAACTACTTTTTCAAAGCCTTTACCTCTCTTTGACATGCTGCTAGTCTTGGGGGGAGTTAGCGTACTTAACATGAAAAGCCAACAGTCTCTCCAGCTCTTCCCAGACCAGGCCCAGAAATCCCAGGGTCGAGTGCCTTAGACTAGAGCAAATTGGTAGCTGGCAAATAGTCACAGCTCACTATTTTTATTCTCTAAAGAAAGTGTTTTCAGGGAGGAGCAGAAAGATGGCTACTGCCTCCTTGAGCCTGCAGGAGGCTTTAGGAA